AGGCCGTTCCAAAATTCACTTGAGTTACAAGTATAAAATAGACTTTAAGTAGGATATTTTGACATAGTCGATCAAAAGGGTAAGTCACACAGTTAAAGACAATCCTTCCAGATCACTCGAGTAAGGGTAGATTGAGAGTACATGATACTATGCAAATTAGAAATAAGTTTGTTACTGTCATAATTATTAATAGGGTAATTAGCAGAAATGGTCGCCAACGTTTACACTCTTTGCTAAAATGGTCGACTATGTCAAAATATCCTACTTAAAGTCTATTTTATACTTGTAACTCAAGTGAATTTTGGAACGGCCTGCTTCGACGAGTGGTAACTTTCGCTATGATTGGCCGTTTCACACGCCGTTAAGGATGGGAGAAACTAGGTCGTGAGCACTTCAAAATGGTATTAAAAATGTAATATTTTAACTTCGTTTGACTTCCCGTAATAATCCCGTAAAATGGAGACAAAAAATAAGAAAAATCATTTATATATTTTGGAACGGCCTACTTCGACAAGTGGTAACTTTCGCTACGGTTGGCCGTTTCATACACCCTTAGGAATGGAAGAAACTAGGTCATGAGCACTTCGAAATGGTATTAAAAATGTAATATTTCGAATTCGTTTGACTTCCCATAATAATCCCGCAAAATGGAGACATAAAATAAGAAATATCGTTTATACATTTTTAATACCATTTCGAAGTGCTCATGACCTAGTTTCTTCCATCCCTAACGGCGTGCGAAACGGCCAACCGTAGCGAAAGTTACCACTTGTCGAATCAGGCCGTTTCAAAATATATAAACGATTTTTCTTATTTTTTGTTCCCATTTTGCGGGATTATTACGGGAAGTCAAACGAAGTCGAAATATTACATTTTTAATACCATTTCGAAGTGCTCATGACATAGTTTCTTCCATCCCTAACGGCGTGCGAAACGGCCAACTGTAACGAAAGTTACCACTCGTCGAATCAAGCCGTTCCAAAATATATAAACGAAATATCAAATTATATTCCATAGGGACCATTTCTGCAAATTTTCAAAAGGTTCTAACGGTTGTTTAACGGGTGTTGGATGGAAGGACCAATTCCGCAAGAAATGTTTGAAATAAGGGCATAAATGCCAATTTTAAAACGATACGGACTATTTTAACAAAGAGTGTAAACGTTGGCGACCATTTCTGCTAATTACCCTATTAAAAATTATGACAGTAACAAACTTATTTCTAATTTGCATTATTTCTAATTTGCATAGTATCATGTACTCACAATCTACCCTTACTCGAGTGAACTGGAAGGATTGTCTTTAAATGTGTGACTTATCCCTTTTATCGACTATGTCAAAATATCCTACTTAAAGTCTATTTTATACTTGTAATTCAAGGGAATTGTGATTTAGACCATTCTAATATTTGACTTAAAGTCCTAAAGTTTGTTCCAAATGGTTGGTCATTTACTCGTTATTCATTAATCTTAGGTGGGAAGTAAAATGTGCCAAATTGTGTACACATTTAGCGGTCTTTGCTGAACAACTTGGGACGAAGGGTAGAAACTAGAAAGTGGGTAAGAGTTTGATTGAGACTTTGGTGCGGTGAGTAGATATAGTCACGAGAAACTTGGGATCCTATCTGATGAATTTATTCCAAATTAATTGTTGCATTGCCAATAAATGATTTAATGGATTTTTAAGTTTGTAAGAAAATATGTATTAACAGTTTTTAATAATAAATTTAGGAAATTTTATTTTGGCATTTAACGTTGAACGCACTAGTATGAAGGAGATATAGACCTTGGCCTTATATGTAAATTTTAGGACTCAAAAGGAAAAAAATATTTATTAATTTTCTAAATAAGCATTTAAGAAGTGAAGCGTGAGAAACATTGGACAAAATAACGATCAAATTAAGAAGTACAACATGGCATGAAACTTTCTTGAAGTGATAACACGGGGTTAATTCCCTAAATGGTCATTGAACTTTTTTTTAAGTTCCCACTGGATTACTGAACTTAAAAATTATCACTGTTAGTCACTTAACTTTGAAAATTGATATCACATACATCACTGTGTAAACGACACTTGAAAAATTGGAAGGATTTGATACCATAGCTAGCGGTATTGTTTAAGTGGGGCACTCATTTGTAAACAATAAATCAATTCTTTACATAAATCATGCTATAATTAGTTAGAAACTATAATAATTCAACTGATAAAGTTTGTGAAATTCAAATTTCGAAAATCCCAACATTTGGATAAAACCACGCATTCAACAATCATTAAAGAAAACACCAAAATATGCATTGGACGATTTGCGAATAAAAAAAGTCACATATTTGTAGACTTATGGTCAACGTCATCAAATCCTTCTATTTGCAAGAGTCGTTTACGAAGTGATGGATAGGAAACCAATTTTCAAAGTTAAATGACTAACGGATACAATTTTAAGTTCAGTGACATTGTGGAAATTATGAGTAAAGTTCAATAATTATTTAGGAAATTAACTTTGATTATACTATTTTAACTCATGCATTTTTTTTTCTCAAACTTTTGTGTCTTTTACTATGCAAAATATATCATACTGTTGCAACTTTTCATATAGTTATATCATTTAGACAATTGGCGATTCGTGTTTTATCCGTTATGGATTCTTATTAACTTTGATGATGTCACTTGTCAAAAAGTATATATAATCCAAGAAATTATCTAATTTTAAAGAGTATATTTTACAATTTAAAGAACATTTATAATTTTAGAAAGTAAAAATTTTTAAATGCTATGATATGCTCTTTATATTTAAAATTTAATTTTACTACCCCAAAAAAAATTATAGTTTTTCCCTATTTTTTTAAATTTTCTATAGCTTACGTCCAAATTATTATATTATTTTCCTTCATTGAAAATTGAAATACTTTTTTATAAAGAGTGGTTTTGTTCTCCAAATTTTGAGAGTCGAACTCACTCTCTAAAGATTGTCTAGCTATAACACGACTTGCACGTGTCCATATTTTAAGGGTAACTTTGTCAAACTAATTGGGAATTAAGTGCTGTGTTCCTTAAAGAATGAGGATTTAAGCTNAAAAGAAAATCGTAAAATGAAGGTTGTGAAAATATCTTTTGCTCAAAATACAAAAAGTATGTTTTTGTTGTATTCATTAATTTTAACACTTAGGACATGGAGTAGTGGTACTGTGGTAGGTTGGCATGTCAAATGATGATTATATGAAAGATTGCTAATTAACCAATTTTTACAAAATTGAGATACGTGTGATAGAGTGATGAAATTCAGTAACCTAATTGAGATAATTTTTTTTTTTTTTTTTTTTTGATTCAGCTGATTTTTTTTTTTGAAGGTTTAGTGACATCATATGTGATTTACCCAATTTCCAATTTAAGCCCCTATTTGGTAGGGTTAGACATTGGGTATATCTATTCGAGTATTTTAATATTAGGAATCACTTATTATATTTTGGGTATTTCATAAATACAAACATTTAGGCCCTGTTTGGAAGAAATTTTAATCAAGATTTTAATCAAAATTCTAGCCGTTAACTATCAAATCAGTCACCATTTTTGACTTTCTCTCTCACAGGTGGGGCCCATAAGTTGACTATAACGGCTATAATTTTTATTAAAATCCCACAAAAATTGCTCTCAAACATGCTCTTAGAGTCACGTACCCGTCGGTTCACGTTAGATTCTACCATAATATTTTCGAAAAATATCTTGAGCTAACAAAAATAAATTATTTTTTCAATATCTAGCAAAAAATAGAAGAACTAAAATGTATCATCAAAACATATTTCAACACTTTTTTAATCTAGTGTAAATATGTAATCAAATAATATCCAATACCTAGCATAATAACATCCAATTCCTATTGTACTTGTTCGAGTGACACCTCAAGAAAGGTTTGTAAGACGGACATTGTGTAAAGTGTGATCACAAATGGCTATGAATGAAAGTGATATTATTCACATGAGTGAATCTGAGCAAAAAAATATGTTCAACCCGTACCCTTGGAGTCCCGCTCCATTTGGGCGAGGATTACCCATCTAATCGGGTAAATGAGCAGGTACGGGCGGGTACGGAAAACAAAGTCTCCGTCCCGTCACTCACTCAATTTAAAATTAGTTTCAAATATAATTTTTTTTTAATCAAAAATTAATAAATTTATCATGATTTTAAAAGAGAACATTAGTTGTTTTTAATAAATTGAAAAAAGCAATAACATTTACTAATTAAAGAAAAAATAAAGAAATAAATGTGACGATAAATGGGTCAGGGGACTTTCCCTGCCCTCCTTTGATCCCATCCCCAACCCATCCCATTTCGATTTAATCGGGTATGTAATAGGGGTAAGGTGATAAAAATTCTCGAAAGGACGGAATGGGAATGATCGATCCATCCCATACCTGTCCATTTGTCTTCCCTAACTAGTTGAGCCTTGCAAACTTGTACTTGTTGGAACATGGTGGTCATAGGTTTAGCTCAAATAAATTTTAAAAATTAAAATTTTATAAAATAAAATGATAAATTCGATTTTAGAGTCGATTACTCACTGTCCCGATTCAAAAATCAAGAAATGATCTGCACCTAATCGATTTTTGGTTCTCGATTTCGATTCCTAAATTATTTTTTTGAAACCCAAACCCAAACCTTCGATTCTCGTTTGATTTTGATTCGGGTAGTTCAGTTCCGGTAAAAATATCCACTAAAGTGTGTTCAAATAATTTTAAAAAATAATAATAATCGGGAAAAAAAAAAGTATTTATCTCGTATATTATCAAAGTTTATGCATCAGTTACCACTCTCCAAATTTCAGTGCTTCCCATTTTTTATTCAAACTCGAAATCTCTCTTAAAATCGGTGGTACTCTTTAAACACACACACACACACAAAAGAAAAAAAAAAAGGCTACTTCCCTTTTTTGTCTGCTGCTCTTCTCTTCTCTGCACTGCACTGCACTGCACCGAACAGCACCGCGCCCCATCTTTTAGATAAAGGCGATGCTACCGGTGTCCAACGGCGTCGTTTGGACGGAAGGAGAAGAAGATGAAGAAATTTCATGGCCAAGAAACAATGAAATCGAGACATGTAAAGATAAAGATAAGAATGCTTCTGCATCTAGCTTTACGTCCATGCTCGAAAACGAGTGGTTCATTAACAATGCCATGAACCCACCAAATTCTGACCTCCATATGAATCCCCCTTCCCAACTACCAGAATTTAGCGGCCTTTTGTTCAATCCACTGGAGGAGGAGTCTTCATGTTCACCGTCGCTTGACCCATCACAGTCACATTTGCAGTCCTTTTTTCCATCCAAATCCTGTTTTCCGTCCCTCTTTAACTTTGTTTGGAACCAACCTTTTGACAGTGGCTTTGATTTTGCCGGGGACATGAATTTCTTCGCTAACCAGAGTGCGAGTTCTGGTTCTGTTTTGATGGGTGACTTCGGTCCACCGGAATCGAGTTCTGAATTTCCGACAAATACTCGTTTACATTCGTTTTCCGACTACAACACAACCATTGGTGGTGGTTCTGAAGTTTTTGGTTTCGAGGATTACGGGAGTGCTCTGTTTCCTAGCAGGTCTAAGGGGTTGAGACCACTTCAAGGGTTTCCACCAGTTGGATTACAGCCTACCCTCTTTCAGAAGAGAGCTGCCTTGCGGCAGGGCTCTAGTGGAGTCGACGAATTGAGGAATTTGGAGCTACCCAGCTTCAAAAGTGGTGAGAGTTCCATGAGGATGGAGGGGAGTTGGGAGAAGAGAGATGATGCTGGGGAAATGGAATTGGATAAGAAGAGGAAAAGGAACCTTGACTATTATGATTCGGATGAGCCTACTGAGAATACCTATAACATTGGAGATGGGAATGGGATTATTGGTGGAAACAATTCGAATGCCAATAGTAGTTCTCCAGTTGGAGATCAGAAGGGCAAGAAGAAGGGTCTACCGGCCAAAAATTTAATGGCGGAGAGGCGGAGGAGGAAGAAACTCAATGACAGGCTTTATATGCTTAGGTCTGTTGTGCCCAAAATAAGCAAGGTATGCACATATTTCAGGCTTCCTTCCCGTTTTCTAGTTCTTTTTTATTTTACTCAGTTCTTGATTGTCTTAGTTTGATGAAATTTTAGCCTGCAATCTTTAGTAAAAGGATTTGTAAAGGGTAAAAATTGCTTTCTTATTTCTTATGAAGTCATTTCTATGTTTGTATTATTGCTTTTGTCCTTTTAATTCTGCAGTTGAAATGTTTTGTGATAGGTATAGGAGATTGCTGAATCAATTTATGAGAGATCTGTTCAAATGGTTTTTGGACAGGGAAAGGAAATGCCTTTCATATCATAAACTGCAGAAGAAAGAAATAAACAATTTTCTGATACACCTCTGAAGCAAATTACTACTGAAAATGAAAAATAATTCTAAATACTAAAAACGATTTTACAAATGAATAAAATTAAACACGACTCCTAAGTCATGAGACTTTGGATAAGGTTAATTTGTTCATGCCCTCCTCCGGGGAAAATGCACAGGCATGAGAAAATGGTGGGATTCAGTACTAGATAGTCATTGTGCTTACTCATAAAAATAGCTGATAAATAGATTTTTCTTGTTAAATCCAGTGTTCTATGTCAAATAAAGATTTTGATCATTTTTGACAAGAATCTTTATTGGTGAATTACAGTTATTTTTTGGTTAATTGATTATGAGTGGTGCAATCTGATTGTTATCTTTATGTTCATAGATGGACAGAGCTTCTATCCTTGGGGATGCCATCGATTATTTAAAAGAGCTTCTGCAACGGATAAATGATATCCACAATGAGCTTGAACCTACACTGCCAGGATCTGTGATGCCACCTTCTATGAACTTCCATACTTTATCACCGACCCCTGCTACACTTCCCTATCGCGTCAAAGAAGAACTCTGTTCAAGTTCTTTGCCAATCCCTAAAAACCAACCTGCAAAGGTAGATTTCACGCTCGTTGGGATTCTTTAAATTGTTGCTCTCCTTTCTGGTGACTGCAATTTAATGTTAAAGAGTTCATTTGCCTATGAAATTAGTTTTTGCTTTCTTTGAAGTTCTGTGGATTCAATGCATTTCTTTTAGTTGTGTGCAACAGTTTTGGTTAACTAGATGGAGTGCCACATTGTGTGGAAGATTAGTAGGGAAAGCATGTTACTAAATTAATTTCCTTACACGCAACTTCGCGTTCTTCCAGTTTCAGCGGATCAGTACATCCTTATGTGCTAATTTTTATCTTTGTCACGCAGAATTTTTCTTTTTGAAAGTTCTCAATATGTGTTTTTTTTTCCTGATTTTTGTAGGTTGAGGTGAGTATGAGAGAAGGGAGGGGTGTCAACATACACATGTTCTGTGCACGTAGAGTGGGTCTCTTACAATCGACTTTGAAGGCTCTGGACAACCTTGGGCTGGACATTCAGCAAGCCGTCATCAGCTGTTTCAACGGATTCGCTTTGGATGTTTTCCGAGCTGAGGTATTTTTATTTATTTTTCATTGTTCTTCAAGCTGTCTGTTGTTTCCCATTAAAATTATAACCTTGCTACATGATCAACGTGGAACCAATGTGTTGCTATTTTTTATTTCATCCACATCTGCAAAATTAGTCTCCTTCCTGTCAATTGTGGAAGTGGTAAAATGAGGAAGAGAGAAATAAAGACTGATGTATCCCTAAAATAAAATTTATAGTAAGCAAGGAAGGAGTGAACCGTTAAGCATGTAATGTAAGCAATGGTCAACACAACTTGATAGTATAATGAACAAACTAATCCTCCTCGCCAATTGCATAATTCGTATTCACATAAAGAAGCACAAGATTGAAGTAGTATTTTCTGTTAATCAGCAATGCAGGGACGTGCAGGACGCTTTGCCGGAGCAGATAAGAGCTGTGCTTCTGGAGTTGGCTGGGTTTCATGCTGCGATATAGACTTTACACGGCACCAGAAGACTGGTTAATCACGCTTCTATGCTAGTTTAGTATATAGTTAGCACATTAGATCCTCAGTCGTGCCTGCCTGCTTTGAAGGATAATAAGCAGCAATTTTAAATAATCACAGCATTCTCTGTTTATTTTGAGCTTCTTGAACAGATCCTTTTGGGGGAAGATATGATTGCAGAGCACTTTAGTTTATCTATTAGTAAGTTTTAAATAAATATCTTTTAATTATTCAAAGTTTAACAACCACTAATAAAGATAAATGTTAAATGGATGGTTAATTTGGGTAATTAAATTTCGTGTGGAGCAGTGACTGCATCCTTTGTTTGATTTTTATTTTTTAAATTACCTGTTCTCATATTCGTTGTCAATTATGTATTCTTCAAATAAAATAATTCGACATTTTCTTGTCTTGTTTTGATTTTAATTATTTTAAAATCTTTTTTTTTTTCTCAAATTCGTTATGAATTTTATATTTTTTCAATAAAATAATTTTGTATGTAGATTAATAAATGTTTTAGTCACATGGTATTAAAAAAATTATGATTTTTTGTGAAATTCAAATTACTTTTTAATCATGTATTTTTAAAATAATTTTGCACTCTTTACTTTTTATAAAATTACTTTTTAAAATCAGAAGTAAACAAAGTCAAATTTTGCATTATCTACTTTTTATAAAAGCACAAAATTAAGCAAAGTCAAATTTTGCATTATCTACTTTTTAGAAAATCACTTTAGAAAAATCAAAATTAAGCGCAGTCGGAGACTCGGAGTAAATTATGGGGTATGAATAAGAATCCAGGCAGTAAGAGGCGTCCTTTTGACTCTACGAAAGGCCACCCATAGCATAATTTCTCTGATTGATTGGATTTGGTGTTTCTAGCAGTGTTTAACGTGCATGGCACGTTATTATAAAATATTTTATAAATACTGTAAACATAATATTATATATTAATTTTTAAGAGGATTTGATTAGTTTCATACGAATTAAAGAAAATAAATTTTAAAATATAAATTTAAGAAAAGAAAATTGTGCTCTCAAAACTTAACTTTTATGATTCAATATTTTATTATTATTATTATTTTTTAGTTTTTTTATTTTTTTTTTGTGATGGTGAAATATTGCAAATGAGCAACATTTTCATACTACATTTGATATATAAGAATTAATTGATAATACATGAATTTAAACACCTATTAAAATTTCTAAATACACGAATAGAAATAAATTTATCTATAATAACTCTAAATTCATGTAGATCAAGATTTATCAAATTAGAATTCAATGAGTCTAGATTAGTATGAACGCTAATTAATTGAGAATTAATAATACGAAATTCATACATGAAAAGAATTCTGTAGTATTTGTTACCCATTGAAAAACTAAAAGTAATGTATTACTGAAATAATTGAATTTTAATAGGGTTAAAATCGTCCAAAAATGATTTTCACTTGATTTGATAGCGTTATTCTGAAATACTTTGCAAGTGCTGTAAAAGTAATATTTGATATCAATTTGTTGGGAAGATTTGATGAGTTTCAGACGACCTAAAGAAAATAAAATTTATAATAAAAATTTAAAAGAAGAAAATTGTACTCTCAAAACAACTTCTATAATTCAAATTTTTTTGTGAAGATGAAATACTACAAATAAGAAATATTTTTATGCTACATCTGGTGTATAAGAATTAATTGTTAATACATGTATTTAAATGGCCATTAAAATTTCTAGATACATGAAAATAAATAAATTCATCTATACTAATTTTACATTTATGTAGATCAAGATTCATTGAGTTTAAATTAATGTGAATATTAATTAATTTAGAATTAATAACAATAAATTTATGCATGACAAGAATTTTGTAATATTTATTACATATTGAAAAATGAAAAGTAATGTATTACTGAATTAGTTGAATTGTGGCAAGGTTAAAATAGTCCAAAAAAATGATTCTCACTCGATGTGATATTTAATATATTATGGATTATTACTCTTATTATTTGTCACTCTTTGAAAGATATTTTTTTAATTCTCATATTCATTTTTAACTATATATTTACACAGAAAATATTTTACATATAAATTCAAACTTTTTAAATATTTTTTAACCACATATTCTGCAAAGAATCACGATTCAAAACTTCATTTTTTCAAAATAATGGCCATCAAACATGGTTCATGTAAGCCCATGTTTGGTTGTCTTTATTTAGAAAAAAACTATGTTTCGATATATATATATATATATATATAGATATATATACTTGAAGAATTTATGGTTAAAAATTAGGAAAATAAATTAAATTTACGTGTAGAATATTTTATTGTATGAATGTGTGATTGAAAATAAATATAAAAATAAATAAAATAAAATAAAATGATATCAAACGGGCTAAATTTCGCTTTTGGGCAAGGCCGACAATTGAATTCATTTCATAGATGCGAATGCTTGGACCTGTTTTCTTAAACTTTATTAACTTTCGTGGTATATTTATTGGGAAGATTACATATTCAAGAGTATAAGTTTAGTCTATTTCAAAAATAAGAACACAAGTTTAAAGTTACCAAAATCAGATTTTTTTAAAATTTTTTTAAATTTTTATTTATGAAATAATAAATTATTAAATTAATTTATTATTAAATATTTAATTATAATATAATATAATTAACCAATCCCACCTTCACCACCC